AAATAAATGTTTATCAAATAAAATCTAATGTAACAACTAATTGGGGATCCCTTTAAGGAAGAACAACTCCTCTGTGTAAATATGAGAGAAACCACACAATTATTGAACGTGAGACAGTGTTTTTAGTTGATCTAATTATAAACGATCATGTATTTACAGAACGGGCGGCACGGTGGCTCAGTTGGTAGAGCTGATGCCTCTCAGCAAGAAGGTCACCGGTTCAAATCCCGGCCCGGGGACCTTTCTGGGTAGAGTTTGCATGTTCTYTCCGTGCATGCGTGGGTTCTCTCCTGGTACTCCGGCTTCCTCCCACAGACCAAAAACATGACTGTTGGGTTAATTGATAACTCTAAATTGTCCCTGGGTGTGAGTGAGAGAGTGAATGGTTATTTGTCTCGTTTGTCTCTATGTGTGTCCCTGTGATGGACTTGCGACCTGTCCAGGGTGTACCCCGCCCCTCGCACTGTGACTGCTGGATATGGGCACCAGTGACCCACGTGACCCTGAAAAGGAAGAAGCGTGTACAGAAAATGGATGGATGGATGGATATTTACAGAACTGAATAAATCACTAGCGTACAGCTTATTGTGGACAATCAAATTTCTTATAAAAAGTTGAAATCAACAACAATTAACACGTGTCCGAGTTAATTATCATTACTTTGACAACTTAATCAGGAACAACAAACTCCAAGCTTAGGGACTTAAATAAACCATTGTTTGCGGCACTTTTTCTCAAGGTTTTGGCAGGGCATAAGCAAAGGTTAAGAAATAGAGGGAAAGGAGGTTGTTAGCCCTAACTTTTTTATTTTGTCAATATGTGAGGAGCCAGGATACGCACATGAGTCTCCCACTCGATTAAGCCGGACACCGGTACGCTTAATCAAAACAATCTGCCTCTACCTTTTAGACAACTTCACCGTCAGGTCAGGCGTTGAGGAAGATCTCACCCGGGTCAGCAAGAGCTCCTGTCAGGTTCAGCTTACTTCCCAGTAAGACTTCCAGTGGTTTGATTTTTTTTTCAGTGTCTTCTGATGTCTGCCAGTCCAAATGGARAGTCAAAGCTGATCGGGCTCTCTTTCAAAATAAAAGACGTCTCACCAAAGTTTTCAAACAAAACCCAGTGGAGTCTCAAAATTGGTTGTTTGGTCACAATTAGTGTGAACCTGGGTTATGATCTGCTCATTGGCACGT